GCTGAAAAGGAGAGAGAACATGAAAGGGAAGAATGAGAACAGTAACACCCTGTAAATACCAGGTTCCTTTCCAATGTTTAATTACATGCAGTTAGGAGCTTTCGCAAGGACCTAAGGAGTAATTTCTTCCACATTCTTCTTTTTATAGATCTGTTTTGATTCCTCAGTATTTACTTTTCTTAGAGCTGCCTGTAACATTGAGAGTCCCTCCTGTAGCCATGTCCCTTGTCATTGAACAGACATGGAGCACAAATGCCTAGATGCCGGGCAAAGCACACGCATGTGCAGAGCTACTGCTCTTGGCTATTCTATTTTATGAGACAGTTGACATAGGCCAGAAAAACGTATGCAACTAGAAAATTAAAACATTAAGCCCAAACTTTGAAGGGAGGCCGGGAGGTGCTCTGGCAACCTGCCCTTGAACTCCACTCTGCTGATTTCCAGCTGTGTGATCTTGGGCAAGTCAGGAAGCCTCTCCGAACCTCAGTTTCCTCATCTATAAAATGAGGACAATAATAGCACCTGCCTTCCTCCTAGAGCTTCTGGGAGAACTACACAAAGTTGCTGGGAACACAGAAATTGTTAACGGTAGCAATAGCAGTTTAAGTTTCTAGACATTGGTTTTAGTTTTGAGGAAGTTTGTTAGTAGAGGAAAAAAAAATTGAAAACCCATTACTAGAGCTCAACAAATGTCCAGTCCTAACCTGCCCTTCCTCTGTGCAGGGCAGCTCATACACTAGCCTCCCAGAACCCTCAGCTTCCCATCTCCAATGTGAACCTCATGAATTACTCCACCCTTGCCAGCCACTCTTACCCCCATCAATAACCTGTTCCCCTAACTGTGTGGGAAAAAAGGCCTCTTTACAACTTCATTCCCTCCAGTTCCCAGAGGAAAGGTGGGTGTCCACCTGCCCCCACAGCCCCCACACTTCGGCCTACTCCATGGGGGCAGTGGAGGCAACGAGCTCCTGACTCCTCAGAGTTGCCCTCAAGTTGAGGAGGTAGAAAATATGCCTTAAGGGCAAGCCCTGTGGCCTGATGGTTAAGAGAGCTGAATCTAACATGGCTGAAAGCGTGGTTCAAATCTCTGCCCCTGCAGCTTGAAAGACATGTTGGGCAAATGTGTGTTTGTGCCAAAATCTTGGCAGGCTGGAGAAAGGGAGGAGAAGAGATTGTGGCATGTCCACACCCCATTGGGAGGTGCTTTCTCCCTCTTTCTCTCTCTGTCTCTACCTGGTGAGTGCACAGGCCCTCTGGCACAAAGAGAGAGAGAGAGAGAAAGAAAGAAAATAAATGTGCCTTAAACATAAATGATAAGGTAAGGCAGGACCCCCATCTCTCAGGTCCTGCTTCTGGCTGCTTGTACAACTGCACACATTGCATTGTCTAGGAAGGACATCTTTGCAGAGTCCTGCCCAGCCCTCCCACCTGCCCTGGGACATTCCCCAGCACTCCTCCCATTCCCCACCTACATTTCATTTCTAGAAAGGCATCCCTAGCACTTCTTCCAGCCTGCTCTTGAGCATTGCACTTTTGGGGTCTGCACCCCACCCCCATCCCTATACCCTCCTACTTCTCAGGACTCCTTCCCAGCATCCTGTGCCCTGTAGTTCCCACGGGCCTATGACTCTTGACCCTCCTGGTCCCAGCAACTGCTTCATAGCTCCATCTCCAGCACCTCCGCTCCCGAGCTCTAGAAAGTCCACATACCATAAAGGCCCAGTTCTCACTGTCCCTGTCCCATGAGGTGGACAACATCTCCTCTCTGCCTGAACTGCTCTCTCCCATCTCCTTCTCGGCCACAGATCTCTCCTCTGTGCCAGTTGCTCACCTGGAAATCCTCAGCGCTGCCTCCCTCAAGGCTGTCCTCCACTGAGGATCCCCTCTGCCACTGGTTTCCACAGTTCCACACTCCTGTTGCCTCAAGCCTGTCCCACGAGCCCACCTCATTACCCTCAGTCCAGGGTGAGGTGTGAATCTTAGGCTTCTCTGAAGCCCAGGAGCAACTAAATATTGAGGAAGGAGTCCAGCTGGGTTGGGTGAGGACATAGGCTGATTTAGCCAGCCGCCCAAGTATCTTTGCCAGAATACTGAAAGCCTTCTGTACCTGCCGGGAGTGCCCTGGGACCCCTATACCACCTCACACTCTAAAGCAGAGAAGCTAACCTTGCCCCTCTCCAACACTCAGTTTGAGTTGGTAGGCATTTTCAGGAACACCCCTGCTAAGAGCAGATTTCACAGTGACCTGGCATGGCCACTTTTATCATTTTGAATTTACATGCTGCCAAATGTTTCCTGAAGTGTACTGTTAATACAAACACAATCATCCTAACATAATATCAGATAAAAATACATGTGTGTGTGTGTATATATATATACACACACACACACACACACACACACACTCATTCAATGAAATTCTAGTGTTTACTCTTGTACCACAGCCTTAAAGCTAATAGTTTGGCCTGGATTTGGGCATAGGCCTAAAAAGGTTAGGTTGAAGTTCAAATGGGAAGTCTTACCCATAGTTAAAAATACTGTAATAAGAAGGTGGATTTTCACTTGGAAGCAGACTGCTAGCCCCAGGACTTCGAGTTACTGCAGAAGCTGAAGACTCGGGAAAGTATGGTGGTGGAGGAGGTGGAAATATTATCACCGAATCACCTGAGGGAACACAATATGTTGTTGAAGACAGATGGATAATAAATGGAAAACGCTGATAAGAGCAAAATAAATTAATTCTGTAGTTGGCCCACCTATATAAAAGGTCAAAACACCTGCTGCCAAGTCTAGCATTAAAAAGCAGTTCTATCAAATTTATAGAGACAGAAAAATAGAATAGGTTTCCAGGGTTTGGGATAGAGGTCAGAAAAGCGAAAGGAGTTGGGGATTATTATTTAATGGATATGTTTGGAATGCGGAAAATGTTCTGGAAATTAATGGTGATAATGGCTGCACAGATGTGTAAATGTTCTTACTATGAAATACATTGTGTATCCCAAGTATAATACATACAACGAGAATACAAAGAGCCAGCAGATGGCATAATGGTTACATTGCTGGACTCCTACACAGTTGACCAGAGTTCAAGTCCCAGACCCGTGGCTTAAAACACACCAGGCGCATGTGCGTGCATGTCCAAAATCCCGAGAGGAGAATAGAGAAGAAGGGATTGCGGCGTGGCCATCCCTCGGGGGTTGATGTTTCACTTTCTGTCTCTCTGTCTCTCTCTGGTTCTCCAACAAATGCATGCGCCCTACTGCAAAAATCTCTCAAAAAGAAAAAAAAAGAGAGAACACAAAATACATGAAGTACATTATTATATATTAAGTACATACTATTTTAAAATCATGTATTTTAAAATAGCTAAAATAGTACATTTGATGTCACATGTATTTCTCCACAAATTCCTTTAAAGAAGTGAGCTCATACAGAGTGCTCACCATTACATCATGGAAGTCGGCCTGCATTTCACAGCAAGTCTGAGCTAAAGCATTTATGTGACACATTTGTTAATAGGCTCCCTTACCTTCCCTGGGATGTCTACTGCTGTAAAAGCTTTTCTTGTTATCAATTTATCATTTTAATCCATCAAAAGTTAGCTGTTGGGTTAAACACCTTGTCCCTCAAACACAATTTCAGCCTCTAAGCAAATGACGAGCACAGCCCATCGCTGCTCTCTACCGAAGTTTCACCCAATTGTAAAGATGAAGGTCAAGAGTGAAGAAAACTTTGGTTTTTTTTGTTTGTTTGTTTGTTTGTTTGTTTTCTATTTCAGTTGCTACTGTCCACTCCAGAACACATCCCTGTGTTTGGAAGAGGAGAAACTGGGGACTAGATGCAAGCTCTGATTTGTATCCCAATTGCAACACAAAGTGTACAACACGAGTTGCCCAAAACATTCTAAACATGAGGTGGCAGCTCTATTGAAGGTCAGACGAAGGTCTCTGGTAAGCTGGCAGCTCCAAACACCAGTTTTGGAAAAATGAAGGAGCCAGGACTTTCCTTCCCTGTAGGGAAGATAATGGTTCATGTTGGTGGTGAATCTGATGCCTGCCGAGGTTGGTATGGGATTCTTTAAAGCTACAGGGGCTCCATTTGCCAAGTATCAGCCCAGTGTGGCTCTGAACAAGCTATCTGACCTACCACTGCCTCAGCTGCCATAGCTGTCACTACAGGCCACACTGAATCTGCCTGTGAGGACAGGCAGGAGGACTGGATGAAAGGACTCGTGTCCAGTGGTGGCTAAGAAAGTGCACAGCACAGAGCAAACTCTCTCAGCTTTTACATACTGCAAAGGCACTTCCTTCCCCCTCCACCAGCCAAGGGCATTGCATGCAAGCTAAAGGCACCCTCCCTACTGGCAGGCCAGTCACTGGCTCCACACTCCATTCTCCACAGGAGCTTCAATGGCTCCCCTAAAAGTTCTCCAGCCTTTCAGAAAATGTACCAGCTCTATCTCTGGTTCTGCAAGATGGCCATTACAGCTTATACTACATATTGCTCACCTAGACTAGATAAGGCAAGATGGCCTTGGGATTCTCATAATTTTATAGAAGATCTTGGTAGATGAGAGAATTTACAGTTGTTCGCTTTAATTACACATTGTGCAATAAAGGACCTGGAAAGTAAACCACTAGGGCAGGCTGATCACCTGTCAAAACAAACAAGTAACCACCCCGTGGCTGCCTCCAAGGCATGCCCATGCCCTGCCCAATTGCTATGTTTCCCACAACTTTGACCTGCTCTCCCTAGAAAAAGGCCACCCCAAGAGTTCCCTCTCACTGCATCCTCCAGAATGTGAGGTCCTCTGTGACCACATCTGCCCCTGGGGGAGGCTGTCTCACAACTGCTGTGCATACTACCTCTAACCCTGAGAGTGCCCATGATGGGGAGAGCATGCCTCTACATTTCTAAAAAAGGTACACCGTGTCTCACAGTACCAAAGGAGAGAAAGATGAGGCATTATACTGCCAGGCTTTCTGGGTTTGATGGGGCATCGATGGTCAAGTGGAAAAAAAAGGTTATTCTGTAGGGTCAGCTTCAGGACAAGGGTGTCCAGGAGCAGCCCCCACGGTATGACATCCTGCCTCAACCTTGATTCCAGCCTCCAGTATGGAGGCTGGGCTGGAAATTGCCCCACTGGCAAGCAGGGAGGGCATACCTTGAAAAGCTGCGAACTCTGGGGAAGAACAAGAGCATTTGATAAATGTATTTACTTCTACCTCACTGAGTTGCCCCAAAGACTGAGAATATCTACAACATTGGGTGCACCCATTCTCACGTAATAACTGCTCAGAACACTCGGTGAAGGATGACACGTAATTACACCCAGTACCCTGGGGGGGGGGTGCTGTCGAGGGCTGCACTGTATGCTGCCCACCCACCTGGGTTTGGCCCCCACTCTGCAACTTGCTAGTCTGGGACCTTGGGCAAGTTGTTTGATACTTCTGTACCTTATTTTCGTCATATCTAACATGGAAATAACAAGAATACTGCCTCAATTCATTGCCATAGGCATGGGTGAGTTTCACATGGTGGGTCCTTTAAGAGCACTTAAATGGGATTTGGAACAAGAATAAACCCCATATAAGTATTAATTATAAATATTATTATTAATATTTAATTAATATTTGCATTGTCACTACGAATGAACAAATAAGTAAACTGGGAGCATCAACCCTGGCTTAACACGGAATGTCGATTAATCTACTTGCCCTTCCTCTCCTGTCCAAGGCC